CAATCGATCAAAGGTAGGGAGATGTCGGGAGCAGGGGGAAGGGAAAGGTGACAAAAATGGTAAATGGGGCTGCGGGAGCTGTGCAAGGCAGAGGGCAGTGCCTCTGAGGGGCTGGTGATTTTTTTTCCTTTCCCATTATAAGAAATAAATAAATAAGCAGCATAAAGAGCAGGCTTGCTCCCACCCAGACACCGTGGCATTTTGTTAGAGGCCCAACCTGCTTCCAGCTCCTGTTCTTTAAGGAAGCAATTGTTGATTTAACTCCTGGGTGCTGGAGGTTGGGGAGAATGGCAGTAGCTATTATATTCTGATGGAAACCCATCTGCTGGTTTACTGACTGCACGGTAACACCAGGGAGCTGAGTAGCAACTTCTCTGTCCCATGCCAAGCTTCTTCCTATGACTCCTACTGCACCAGCAGGGCTCCTGCCTCTGCCCCACAGGCCTAGGCACCTGTTTTGCCAAGGGGCTGAGAAACCCCGGCCCTCATTGATCTCCATAGAAACAGTGGATGCTCAGCAATTCTGAACACTAGGCCTGAGGTTTTTAAATGCCAGTGTTCTTGCAATGGCCTTGCGGAGATACTATTAAAGCTGCCAAACTCCTAGGAGGTATCCACGGCATTGACTATTACACCGTGGCTTGACATATGGAATCTCTATCATTGGAAATTTTTAAGAGCATGGGTGCCACATGTGGCAGGGACAGCCTCTGCATGTGGCACTTGCCAGACTGCAAAGGGGGCAGGCAGCACAGTGACGGATAGGGCATAAAACCAAAAACACAGCAGCAGATTCAGAAGGAAGTACAGGACAGGAAGCAGAAAGCAGAGCAGCTGATATGGAAGAGGAAAGGGATTGGAGTGGCACTTAAGAAGAGTCCAGGGCTCAGTTGTAGCAAGCCTGCTAAAAACGGTTGGTCCCCACTGGTTTAGTTTCAGGTAATCCTGCCCTGAGCAGAAGCCTGGATCAGGTGACCTTTTGAAGTACTTTTCAGACTTTCTTCTTTGTGAAGCTGTGAATTGGCTATTTTGGGGCAGTTTATCAGGTCTATCAGGTGCTGTGCAAATGGGCTCAGGAACTTTTGGAAAGCCTCTTTAAAAATAGCATATTACAGGATCCTGCAATTATGTCCCTGCACACAGCAGCTGGCAGTGGTGACAGTATAGCCTTCAGGTGCTTTAAGCAAGTCTTGCAAACTTCAGCCGCACCCCTACCACTGGGACATGTTAGACAAGCAAGTCAAAGATCATTACTTTCAACCACTGGTAAAAGGGCAGGACAGTAGGTTTTGTTCTTGTTTTTGTACATGTCCAGGACCTTTGTCCAGGCCAGCTTCAAAGGGCTGGAAGGGCCAGGACTAAGGGCCTGGACTAATGATCAGGTTTCACTGAAAGGCTACCCTGTGACCACCAAGCTTTAACCAACCCCAAGCTTTAACCAACCCCAAAAACTTCTATAGCAATTTCCTTGGCCCTGCAGCTCTCATGGTACTCATGAGCTTGATTAGAGCAGGTGTTGGCACCTGGAACCCTCCTTATGAGACCTGAGCTGCCTGGACTAGGGACAAGACCTTTTCTTGTCTCTCCAAGCAAGAGAGAAGGTGGGGGTAAAGATGAGAAGATGCCTGTGCTAAACCATGGCTCTAGGATGCAACATTCACAATGATACAGGTGACACAACAACTTGAGTGTACAGTGGGATGCTGCAGTACCAGGATATACCATCTACAGAAATGGTTTTCAATCCTTTTTTTCATTTGTGGGCCCCTAAAAAAATTTAAAATGGAGGTGCAGATCCCTTTGGAAATTTCAAATAGACATATGGACCCCTTTGAAGTGTAAGTGTGGGTATTCACATACTTTTGATTGATCATAGTCATCTTAGTCATCTTTCGTGCACCCCTTAGACATAGTCTGTGGTCTGCAGAACACAAGTTGAAACCCATCGGCCTAGAGAATATCTCCTACGGATCACATCCAAGGATACCGTGTCTCCTTCTCTCTACCCCTAAGCACTAGAAGTGCTCATCTCTTTGCAGCCAAGAAACAGATTGCAGTTAGGTGGCATTTAACTGCTGCACACAGAAATTAGTGTTTAACTATTAACAATATCTTATATTCCTACTGTACCTATAACTCCATCCTCTCTCAGTTCCATAGTTATTTAGCAGCTAAGTGATTCACTCTCATACCACAGTGGAGCCCTGAGGTTACTTGTCTATACAGAGTATCTACATAACAATTACAGTGTGTTCGTTAGCAATAAAAAAGGTTTCAGTATAATTAGTGCCACTCAATTTACCCTGTTGCCAAACAATAATATATACTATATAGAGAGAAGTGGAGACCTGCCATGTGTGACAGTTTTACTGACTCCATAGGGTTAAGGTATTCCCTACATATACTTCTGCCCTTACTAGGATAAGCTGTACTGTAGCATCCCACTGTGCACTTAAACTGCTGTGCCACCTGCATCATTGCAAATGTTGCATTCAAGAGCCATGATTTAGCACAGGCAGCTTCTTATTTCTAGTCCCACTTTCCCTCTTGGAGAGATGGTGCAGTAGGATGCAACAGACATTCCACATTAGCACACAGTGCAGTTAGCATATATGACTGCTGGCAGGTGGCTTTGACCATACTCTCAATGACCAGTGGTCAGATCCCCCACACACCTGACCACCCCCCTATTCCCAGGGCCTCTGTGGGCTTAACCAGATGCAACCACCTATCTCCCATAATGTCTCTTTAACAGACTGGAATCCTGCCTGGCTACTATATGCAGAGAAATGAACTCTCTGCACCTCCCCCACCCCCACATGCACCTGTCCGAGTTTATCTTTGTCAGCAGTGTGCTAGTAGTAGAAGAAGACTACAGGGTTCAGCTAAGTACCTCAGGGTGAGGTGGAATGTTGAGACTTAGCTGAGCTATTCAGTTCTCATGCCTTAGTGACCTGAAGAAGGTCCATAGAGTAAGGGGCTGTAGTCTTTTCTCAATGTGGCTACTAGCTTACAACAGGATTTTACCTCTCTACACATTGGCTATTATGGGGATACTGCTTGGGGAGAATTCATGTTTGCTTAGTGCTTTGGCTCTGTGAAATTGCTGTTCACTGCATCATGACCTGGGCACATCTGGATGGATTCTTCCAAGAAAATTTGGAGCCTCTGCTCCCAGGAAAGAAAATGAACTGGACAGCAGGGATCTGAACTCCAGCAAGGAGGTCAGGGGGAAAGGGATCTGGTGGTAGGGGTTTACTACAGGCCACCACAACAGGAGGAAGAGCTGGATCTGGAATTTTCCAGGCAGCTGGGGGAGGCCATGTGTGCAAAGGATGTTGCGGTCATGGGTGATATGAATTACCCTGACATCAACTGGGAGGAGCAGTTGGCCAGGTCTAGTGACTCATGAAGGTTCCTGACATGTGTACAGGACCTACACCTCGTGCAGGAGGTACTTGTCCCCACTGGGGAAAACGCCATACTGGATCTGGTGTTAGCCTCTGGGGACGACCTGGTGGGGGATGTGCTAGTGCAAGGGGGGCTAGGGGACAGTGACCATGAAATGAACCAGTTTGCTATTGAAAGAAAGGTGGGGAGGGTAACTAGCACAGCGCAAATGCTCGACTTTAAGAAAGCCAACTTTGATGTGCTCAGGGCAGTAGTCAGGG